AAACACACATGACACACTTCAAGAAACTCAATTTCAATGCCTCAAACACTGTGCCTTTCTGTACACTTCTTTTAGTGCAACAAGTAGAAAGGTTGCAGCACCGCTGAATTTCGTCTCCAAAATACAAGTTCAATTCATGATTAGTATCACAAATAGCAATTTTAGGCATAATAGCTTTCACTTGAAAGAATCTGATAGATTCTTCCTCTGTTCTGGGTAAATCCCAAATTTTCATTGGTTTTTCATCCATTTTTGAAGTACAGTACAAAGTCTTTAATCCAGACGTCCATAACCCGGAATGATCTATAATCCGGACCTCAAAGCTACAAACTTTCTGCGCATGATACCTTTACCTTATATATGTTTACGCATGCGCATAATACGTTTACGCAGTAGCAGTACGAGTCTTCCGACGTCCATAATCCGCTATTGGACACTCCAGCGGCAGCATATGCACGCATTTCACTGCGCGTTTAATGTATAACGGACGGTATAAGCTAAGCTAAAATTATCTAATTATCATTTCAGTTAATGTTGCAGATTGCATTGTTCCTTAATCTTCAAATTGGATACGGCTTATTATTTTTTGCAGACTGTTAGAGCAATTTTATAAAAGTAAGCTTGAACTTTCGATTATGTCAAATAGAATTTCCGATATACTAACTAATGTAAAGGATCTACAAAGCGAAAGTATGTTTCGAAGTCCATGAAACAAAAAGTGGAATTGCTGCAAAAAATGGATAAAGGCATATCTTTGTTTCTTAACCATTCCGAAATCTGTTTATCAATTTCACGCTGCTCTGCGGGGGGTGGGGAGGGGACATCGCGGCATGCGCAATGAACTGGAAGTTGATCTGTTAGCACCATTTATTTTCAGGGCAGATGTTTTTATTTTATTCAGCTTATAATTCCTTACTAAATGTAGTATTTCATCTCGATGTATTCCGTCTTTGATATGATTTAAATCAAATTCCTCGTCATTATATATATCACGAGTACACATCAAATAGTTTTCTGGTTGCAATTTTCTAATTTCGACTATGCGTAATGTATGCTTTACGCATGCGCGCGTTGGAAGAAATGAATAAAGTAAACAAATAAATATTAAGCTTTTATTTTGTTAAATTTTGATACCCTTTATATCATAATTGTTCTTTATTTCATTAATTACGGTTTCATATTTTTAATTTTATAATTTCTGCATGCCCTTACCAGATTTAAATTGATCTATAATCCAGAATCGCCGAAGTCCCGACAAGTCCAGATTAAAGACTTTGGACTGTATTAGGAAAAAGATGTTAATTTAAAAATTTACAAAGCTTTCATGGTACAACATCCTGATTTATCGGCTTGGATCACATGACACCAAGTGTCATGTGACATAAACTCACATAAACTATACCACAAAAATCTAATTCTCTCAGTAATTATCTATATTAATTTCAAGTTAAATCTTAGTATGGAATACAAGTTCAAATGCAAGAATAATTTCAATTTGTACAAGTTGCTTACTCAGAAGTTATGTAAAACCACATTGCTTTACTTCACTAATGCATTCTCATTAAAATTGATGAATTTAACCTTGACTTTGCCTTTTCTATAGTTTTGCTTTCGAGTGAGAACTGTGATTGCACTCTAATCAACTTATTACCACAAATGGCCTTAGGGTCTAAAATTGAACTATTTGGTAAAAATTTTATGTAACTGTATGCAAGTATTGAAAGAAATGATCAATCTGACTAGAAATGACTGCAACTTGTTTTGAAAATGTGGCGCAGAGGTTATCAGTGGGGATATTCGGTTTGGCGTGTGTTGTACCATTTTTGTTGACTTTATCGCTTGTGCTGGCAAAATGGAAAAGTATCAGTTTTTCCAAGAAAAGCAATGTTTTTCAGATTCTGACACAATTTCAGAATAAAAAGTCTTGGCATTACACGATTTTAATTTATGTGATAATAAATGTCTGAGCATAATCTTTTCTGTGGAAAACTATTGCACTAAAATTGTCAAAACATTTTCATTAGCTCTGCTCATGCTCTTATCAATATTTAAAGGGGAAAAAAATTCTAAGTTTTCAGTTATTGCTCTTTGATAGTTTGTAAAAGGCCACACTTTAATCTGTTGGATTTGTGATTTAATGAATCCTTGTTGTTAGTTAGAATTTAAATTAGCTGAAAAATGTGATTAGAAAAAAAAAATGGAAGATAATATGCCATCATAAAAGATAGTATAAGCATTTTTGACCTTGTTTTTCTTGTAGCACCATCAAGAATTCATTCATTTTATTGTAACTCTTGGATATAACGGTATGAAAATTTGCATCTGTTTTATAGACTTTCGTGCTTTCTAATGAACATGCACAGCATGTTTCATCAAAAATGTAATCCTTTAAATCTATAGTAAATGGAAGTACTGTAACAAAAAAAAAAAAAAAAAAAAAAAAAACTCAAATATTGATTTTCTTGCACCAGACACTAATTATTTCAACTGGACATTCTTTTTTCATAATAATTTCCACCAGAATTTATTTCTGATTCCAGCTTTCATCTGACCGATGTCATCAGATTCCAATAAAAGTTTTACAATAAACAGAGGAAGATTTTCTATTTATAAAACTATTTTCAGAAACAGGAAACGAAAAGCTTGTCGTCTTAAACACATAGCTATATTCTAGCATTAAGCAGCCATAAGAAACGAACAAAACAATATACATTGTCCCAAAGGAACATGAAGACAAAGCATATTCCAAACATCCTCTTTCATTAGAGACAATGAACTTGCCATAATGTACCTACAATAGGTGCTAAGTTTTGACAGCATTGAATATGATGCCTGTCGATACGATGCTTCCCTCTTCCAATAAATACTATGTGGTGTTTCTGGTCCTCTGGCAAAAAACATCACAGTAGATCAGTGGTTAACATACTCACTTATAGTCATGAAGATTCCAAGACCATATCTTGATAGCTTCAAGACTCGTAACTCATAGTCACCTCTTAAACTTCCTTTTCCCCCTTAGTGATCCACAGCACAGACAATAATATGTGACGTGCCCAAGAACTGGAATAAGTTGGACATGTAAAAAATTATCAGTCACTCAGATTGTATTTCAGATTTTATTTCACACAAAATTTGAGAAAGATGAGTTAAACTTCAAAAATCTGGAAATTCAGGATTTAAGAAAGTTAAAAATCCGGACATATCCACACCAAAATTATACAATATACAGGGTTGAAATTTTATCCATCTCTAAGAAATTGTTAAAAGCCGAATGATGGATAAAAACTTACGAGTTAGATATCTTCAATCAAGAACAAATAATACATGTTTGAAGCATTTTCAGAAATAATTTAAAAAATGGGTTTCCTTCTTCCACAGTATCAAAAATATGGCAAGAGTACACAGATAGAGAGAAATGAGTAACTGGGGAAATTGCAATTGACAGACAGCCTTGAATGATCATAATCTTCAAAGACTTAGTCATATAATAAGTAATCAGCATATTTTGCATAGGGGGGCCACAGAACACCGTGACTCAATCACTACTAACTAGAATCAAATAGCATGGAACAACAAGTCTCAATTCGGATTGCATCATGCCTTTACAAGGTCATGGAAGCTGATTGATATTCCGAGATATTTTCTCTTATTTATGTTCAGGATCTCTGGGACTTTACCAAGCATCCACACAGCATCTACATATATAGAACTACTGGGCAAATATGTTTCTTCAAGCGTCTTTGCCATCTGGATGGAAATGAAGGGTATGTCGCAAGACAATGCTTTTGTCATAGATCTCAAATAACTACCACCTGGTTTGAGTATATTCTATTGAAACCCCTTTGCTAAAATAACCATTCAGAAGCTTAGACCTAAATCCTACTGAACACATAATTCAGGTCATACTTCAGGAACTTGCACAGATTTGTGGAATTCCAGAGCATTGTCATGTGGTAGCTATTAAGGTCAAAGGAACAGCAACTGGTTACAAATTAGGTATACCTAATTCAGCGGTATTTCAATGTTTTCTTTTTAGCTCAAAGGAGCATTAGCTTGGAAAGGCTATTAATTTAGTTTTGGTATTTTGCATCGATTCACTGTAAATGTCTGTATCACTTTTCCAACCATTGCCACCAAACATTATCGCCCTGTATTATATTTAAAGAAATTAAATAATGAAGAATCTGCACAAATGTATGTATGTTTTTCACATTCTGATAAAACAATGGTACCTAGAGCCATCCAATTTTGAATGACGTAATCCTACTGCAAATATGGGCATCTGGAAGTCCAAATTTGAAATTTGTTTTATTATTGATTTCATATTTTGTAAAAGTTTAGCAAATTTTTAATTAACAAACTCAACAATTTCAAAGTGAGCAATGGCAACACTGTATGAAAAAAACATTTTTATATCCAGCGTACGAGGCTGCATAGCGGAAATTCTAAAGATATGCTCATTTTAAAATTATTTTGTGATATTGCTGTTGAATTGAATTTTATGGTTTAAGTGTAAAAAACATGATATTTAATAAAGGTAACACACAAACCATTGAAAAAATGTCCCTTTGGGCATAATATAAAATCTAAAAATTTTCAGTTTTTTTTTTTTTTTTTTTAAATAAAATGGCTATACATTTGCTTCTTATACATTATTGGGAATGACTGAACCCTCAGATTATTTAGCTGAAGATAATTTAGCTCAGAATGTATCACTAGAGATACACCAATATTACACTTACGAGCGAAAAGAAAAGGAAATACACAAACAATCATGCAATTATACAGCAGTCGAATACACACCTTGAAGATTAGACTAACAGTTAGCCTCCACTACCTACTAAAATGTTCACGGTGATTTAATATAAACTTGTTTATTAAAGTTCTTTTCTGGTCATCAAGGATACAATGAAGTAAAAGGAAATATTACATTAATTGAATTAATATCGTGAAATGGATAACAAAGGTTTTTTTCACAAAAAATGCTATCTAATATTTACCTCGGCTAATGGCTTTCCTTTTATAATAAAGATCAAATATATATCGAGATTTTTGATGATGAATACGAAAGATGGGCCACAAAGATTCGACTTTTCTTTTGCCATCATGAGGTTCAGTTTCAGCTACATCAGAAATAAAAATTATTAAGTATGTAACAGATAATAAATATATCAAATCTTATATACACTAAATAAGCTTATATTAAGAACTATATATTTTAAAATGTTTTCTGGTTATTTTTCAGATAATTTTATACCTTTACAAATAGCACAAATCAAAAGAAGACAAATTCCTCACATCATTACACTCTGTAACAACAACAAAATCAATATACTATGAAAATGTAAGAGAATGTAAGGACACCTAACATGCAAATACAAAAACTCAGCTATGCATATGATTAAACACCCACAACCATTAAGAGTAAACAGCTCATGGAATATCAGAATAGATGAAGTTGACAGATACAAAAGGTCCCTTTTCACCAGCCATGTAAATTCAGGCTGGTTTCCATGTTTAGTAGTAGCCACGGGGGATGCCTCGAAGACACACCCGAGATCACATGCAGCTGAATAAGTTCTAGAGAGAAGGCATCACTGCCTTGTGGGAAGCAGGATGGTCATATTGCCTAATTGCCAAGCACAAGGGCAAAGTGATAAAACATTGAGACAATGTTGTTAGCAGTGGCAGGCTGCAGAGAATAACTTAAAGCACAGACTTAGCCATCATGTGTGCCCCCCCTCCAATCATACTGATGGTACCACTTACTATCATTTAACAAATTCTACCACATCTCTGGGAACACAGGATCATTGGACAATGACTTGTAAAGGGACGACTGCATATTGTCAGCACTCTTTATGACATCTAACATTGATACTGGCTCATCACAAATGTTTCCTGTAGTATTGTGCCCATGCCAGAAGGAATGCAAAACTGGAGCTGTACCATTTTTAATGATGAATCTAGATTCTCATTTGGCCTGGATGACAACTGCATCCATGTGTGAAAGTGGCCAAGACAATGCTGCTCACCCTATGTCATTGTAAAGTGACAAAACTTTTGTCATGTTTAGTATTACTGTTGGGGGGACTATTGCTTATGATACTCATTACTTATAATCATCCTGTAAGCCACTCTAATTGGCCTGCATTATGTCAAGAACATCCTGTGGCCTACTGCAGTGATCATGCTGAGGGCAATTTTTCATCATGATAACAACTAACATTTGCCACAATGTGACAACTATCACATGACAATCTATTTGTTTGATCTTTTCTCACAGAACATGTTTGGGATACAGTCAAACATCATAACATATCTGACCTAGCTGTACAACTACACAAAATCTGGCAGGTTATTCTTCATGATAGCTGTGCCGATTCGAACAGATACTTTTCTATTAAATTAAGTCTTAAAAGAATCAAAGTTACCAAAAAAAAAAAAAAAAAAAAAACCTCAATGTTTGTTTGTTTTATTAAACATTTATACTAATGGGAGTTGTTTAAGCTTTTTCATTTTTGTGCTAATATTTTCTTTTTAATTTTATAGACAGACATAATATCTTATTCCATTACAAAGTACCATTGTTCAAATCCTGTAATTGCCATGTTGAGAATTCCCACTTCACTGTCAATCAAAATCTTTTTTTCATTGTCAAAAACTTCTTCATTATTGGCAATTATAGTTTCTAGATCTGAAATCAAACTACATATTCTGCTGCTTGATAGTTGATTGCTAAGTGGGATACTGTCATTGCAATAGAATTCTGCTATATTTGTTTGTAGGTTATTCTTATTTTTTATATCTTCATTTATTATCACTTTTTATTTCTTTCCAAATTTTACTAATTAGAAATTGTATCTTTTGTAGCATTCTAAATCTATGTCAAAATAAGCTTGTTGTTTGCTTAGTTTTGCAATCGCACTTTCTTAAGCTCGAACTGCATTTTCTCTCACCAAGGTCACTATCGAAGATAAGTAACACACATGCTTATCTTCGATAGTGACCTTGTATCGAAGATAAGTAACACACATGTTACACACATGCTAAGTAACACACATGCTGCGAAGATAAGTAACACACTTTGCAGATCCTGCTACAGCTCCAGAAATAGAAACTTTTTTTGACATAATCGGAAATTCAGACTAAATTTGATTAGATAGCTGTAATAATAACCTGGATCAAATGAGAAAGTTAAGCAAGTGCAAAATTTTCTATATTAACTGAAGTTATATGGAACCTAATTTTTTCCCTCTTCCCCCCTGCTCTGCCAAGAAAAGAAGAATAGCATGAGTAACACTCCATCCCAAACAAATATGTCTTGAAGCTAGACTTATTCTTTACACCAGATAGAAAAATGTTGTTCCTTCTCCACAACTGCCATTTAGAACCAGATTTAGACTTGGCTTAAGCTATTTGAGATATAGGACCCTTTATAAGTGTCTGTTATACAGTCAAAATTCTTTAATCCGGACTCATCAGGACTTCAGCGATTCCGGATTATAGATCATCAGTTTAAATCTGGTAGGATGGCATGCAGAAATTATAAAATTAAAAATATGAAACTGTAATTTATGAAATAAAGAGCAATTATGATCTAAAGGATATCAAAATTTAAAAAAAAAAAAAAAAAAAAAAAAAAAACAAGCTTAATATTTATTTGTTTGCTTTATTAAACATTTCTTTCAACACACGCATGCATAAAGCATACATTATGCTTAGTCAAAATTAGAAAATTTCAACTACAAAACTATTTGATGTGTATTCGTGATATTTATAATAATGAGGAATTTGATTTAAATCATATCAAAGACAGAGTACATCAAGATGAAATACTACATTTAGTAAGGAATTATAAGCCGAATAAAATAAAAACATCTGCCCTGAAGATCAGGACAGTGCTGACACATCAACTTCCAGTTCATTGCGTGCCTCGACGTTTCCCCCCCCCCCCCCCCCGGCAGAGCAGTGTGAAATTGATTAACAGATTTCGGAATGATTAGAGAAACAAATTCGATTATGTCATAAAGAATTCCCGATTCTGGAGCTGCCAAAGCATGTTTCGATGTCCATCAAACAAAAAGTGGAACTGCTGCAAAAAATGGATAAAGGCATATCCTTTGTTTCTCTAACCATTCCGAAATCTGTTTATCAATTTCATGCTGCTCTGCAAGGGCTATAATCCGGAAAAACTGATAATCCAGAATCACCGAAGTCCCAACAAGTCCAAATTAAAGACTTTTGACTGTAGTTACATGCGGGAAGTTGAGGAGATACATCAGCCATATGTTTCAGAGTGTATTTAAGCTAGATTTAGTTCGAGAAAATATATTGTTGAAGTTATTAATGAAGCATTTGTTCATAGTTGTCTTCATGGTGACAAAAGTATATTTTTATAGTTTTCATGGGATACAGGATTTTTTAAGTCGAACTTGACCCGTGAGAAGAGCAGGTCTGATATGAAGATTCAGAAGAAAAATTATGTTTCTAATGGGTTTGTGTGGATTTCCAGGAAAATTGCTGAGGTAAAGAATATTGGGTACTATTCCGTTTTGAGGACCATAAAAAATTGCAGTGAAAATGTATGCGCAAAAGCGCCAAATCTAGCAAACGCGCTAATTTAACAGCGCGTCAAATCTAGTGTACATGCTGATTTCAAAGTGCGTAAGTTTAGATAGTTCTATATTTTTTAAGACACCATTGAAACACTAGTTTAATTTTTAAATCTTTTTTTGATTTTAAATCCTTTTCTGATATCCATGGATTTAATAATTTGAGAATTGCCCATGATGAAAAGTCTGCAACAGAATTTTTTCAAAGAAAAGGCATCATTCATTATAGAAAATTATGTTTGAACAACCAACGAGATGAAATTATGCTTTAGCGATAACTCGGTAGCAAAATAGCGATGTGGAAAACCATTCAATTACATTTTAGCCTTTTTTTATATAAATTATAATAATGGTCTGAAATAATTATTTACTCATATGCTTCCATTCAGTTATGTTTAGCGTTTTAATATAAATTATAATAATAAAACATTATTATATGAAATTAACCTTTCATATAAATTAAAACAATAATCTTTAGATAGTTATTTACTTATAATTCCTTTCTTGCGTTAGGGTTGATGCAATTATTTTTGGCAGCAACAATAGTTTGGCGATTTTTTACCGCCCTCAAAACGGAATAGCACCCAATATTGTTCTAAACGAAGTTTGAGGTTTGCATCCAAGTTTTTCTACAGTAAATTGACTGACTAAAAGAAATTTTTATTGTAACGTTTGAAATTCTGAATCATAAAAAGATGCCTGACATAGCTAAGTCATGGCATTTTCGTTCACAAGCTTTGTGTGATTGGCATAGTTTTATTAATGAAACTATATTGGATTATACAGTACAATGTCTCTAATCTGGACCCCAAAACACAAACTTACACATGCGCATAAAGCATTTACGCATGCACGTTTGATGCGCGTGTCCGCCACGCATGCACGTAAAGCGTTTACCCATGTGCGCTTCCGATAGTGAAGAAAGTAACAGAGAACGTTATTGAAAAAGAAAAAATTTCAATTGACAAGTTAGCCGGTATTTTCGACACAGCAATTACATGACTTGAACAGTGGAACTTTGTAACTGAACAAGAAATTATGTCTGTTTATAGAACTAAAGAGAAAGTATTAGCACAAAAAACAAAGCAACTTACATTGATACAAATGTTTACTAAAGTAAACAAACAAATATTAAGCTTTTTTTTTTTTTTTGTAAATTTTGATACCCTTTAGCTCATGATTGCTCTTTATTTCATAAATTACAGTTTCATATTTTTAATTGTACAGTCAAAAGTCATTAATCCGGACTCGTCAGGACTTTGGCGATTCTGGATTATCGATTTTTCCGGATTATAGATCATCAGTTTAAATCTCGTAAGATGGCACGCAGAAATTCTAAAATTAAAAATATGAAACCGTAATTTATGAAATAAAGAACAATTATGATCTAAAGCGTATCAAAATTAAAAAAAAAAAAAAAAAAAAAGCTTAATATTTATTTGTTTACTTTATTAAACATTCTTTCAATGTAAGTTGTTTAAGTTGCTTTGTTTTATGTGATAATACTT